CTGCACCCCCCCAGTTCCTCCCCTGCATCTTCCTGTATCCTTACTGCATCCCCCCCCCATCCCTCCTTGCTTTCCATCCCCCCCACATCCCCTCCTGCTCTGGGGGGGACTGAAGGAGCCTCCCCCAGTCTGAGCTGAGCTGCCCCAGCCCCTGCCCGAGTGTTGGAAGCACCCTCACACCTTGCCATGCCACCGGGATGCTCCAGTGGGGGCACGTGGGCAGGGGGTTGGCATCAAATGGCAGAGAAGGACCACACTCTTCCCTGCAGCAGAGGGGATCCCAGATCCCAGCCCGTCGGGAAACTGAGGCAGAGGGAAAGTCCCAGCAGCCAGCTCAGTGCCCACGTGGCCACCAGCTTCACGTCTGCCCTGCGCCCTCGTGTCTCACCCCACTGAGCACCCGGGCTGGCCCTGTCCCTGTCCCCATCCCCTCTTGGCAAGGAGGACGTGGGTTTATTGGCAGCGCAATATTCCCCAGCTTGGAGGAAACCTGGAGAGCAAGCGGGATGGGGACCAAGTCCCACGGAGTTGTGGTGAACCTGAAGGCACCAAGGAAAACTAAACCACCCCAGTATCAAGAGGCCCTTGGTGACACTCCCTTCCACGTGCCCAATTCCACGCAGGCAGACTGTAATTGTCCCCTCCCCACGTGTCCCCAGACTTTGGCCAGAGGACCCAGAAAGGAGGAAGGACAGGGCTGGGATGGAGCTTTGGCTCCCCATTCTGCTGGAGAAGCCTTGAAGCTGATCTCGCTTCACAGAGCTGGCTCATGTTGGGGGAACCCTCTCTGGGGGCTTTCCCCAGCCCCCCGAGCCTTCAGCCTCACCGAGGAGCCTCCACTCCCTTTCCCATCCCTCCTCCCCCTCCGCCGGCCCCGGTGGCTCCGGCCCAGGGCAGAACAATGCGGCCGGTCCAAGCCTCCGTGCGGCCCCATTTCTCAGCCAACCCTTCGCCAAGTGGGAAATCCGGGGCAGAGTAACCTACTTTCTGTGCTGACAAGGAGCTTTCTGTCCTGGCCAAGCAAGGTGGTGGGCACAGAGCTGCCCTCCCGGGGCTCGGTGTCCCCACGGGTGGATGGTGGCACCGGGGGAGGCAGGTAAGGAGGCTCCGATGGGGCAGGATGCTCCTCAGCCTTGCCTGGAGTGGGGTATTGGGGTGCCACCCGTGTGGCTGTGGTGTTGGGGGGACTCCAGGGCTTTGGCTTTGGTGGGTTTCTCACCCACAGCCATCCCAGAGCCTCCTGGGGTGCAGCCTGTGGGGAGCTGGGCTGCCGGGCTGTTTGTGGGGTAATGGCCCCTGGGGGCTGTTTGTGGGGTGATGCTCGGGCCCAGGGGGCTGTTTGTGGGGGCAATGCTTGGCTCCATGGGGCTGTTTGTGGGGGACAACGCTTGGCTCCATGGGGCTGTTTGGGGGGGGCAATGCTCAGCCCCAGGGAGGTGCCTGTGGGGGCGATGATCAGCCTCATGGGGTTGTTTGTGGGGGCCCATGCTTGGTCCCGTGGGGTCACAGGAGACTCAGTTCTCAGCCCCACGGGGTTGTTTGTGGGGGTGATGCTCAGCATCATGGGATTGTTTGTGGGGGCGATGATCGGCCCCAGGGGAGTGTTCATGGGGGGCAATGCTTAGCCCCAGGGGGTTGTTTGTGAGGATGATGGCAACCCCAGGGGCTGCTTGTGGGGGGGCCATGCTTGGGGCCATGGGGCTGTTTGTGGATTCACATGGGGCTGTAGATTCAGCCCCATGAGTCTATTTGTGGGGGTGATGCTCAGCCCCATGGGACTGTTTGTGGGGGTGAAGCTCAGCCTCAGGAGGTTGTTTGTGGGGGTGAAGCTCAGCCTCAGGAGGTTGTTTGTGAGGGTGCTGCTCAGCCCCATGGTGTTGTTTGTGGGGGTGAAGCTCAGCCCCGTGGGGTTGCTTGTGGGGGGCAGTGCTCAGACCCACCATCAATCCCCCCAGCCAACAGGAGAAATTACGTTGCTTTGCTCTCACCCTAAAGATCTCCCCAAGGCCAGAAAAGGAACCCAGGCACACGGGGCACCCCAGGTCCCCCCCCGGGCACCCCAGTTGGAGGAGCAGAGCACCCCAGCTCCCATCCCAGCTCCTTCCACCAGGCTTCGCTGCCCTCCCGGCAGGGACGCCAGGCAGCGAGGCGGGCGCAGGCTCCCGCTGCCCCAACCTGCTGAGGCTCGTCCTCTTCCAGCAGGACTTTCAGGTTCCCTCAGTCCCCGCCGGGGCCACGCTGGGCTGGGCTGGGCCACAACGAGCCCTGCCACCAGCCGGGCTGGGAGCCTGGCAGCGCGGCTGGACCTCGGCCGGGCGCCGGGCATGAGCCCGCGAGGGTCTCCTGGCCACAGCCCCCTGGGGCCAGGCGCTTGGGGGGGGTCCATGCTCCAGGGCTGGAGATGAGCCAGCTCCGTCTTCGCCCGCCGGAGAGGTAATGCCGCCCGCGGGGCACACGGTGGCCACCTGCAAGGGGTCCCGGGGGCCACCAGGTTCTCCAGAGGTTGCTCCTTCCCCATCGCTTCCAGCAAGAGCTGCAAAAAGAGCTGCGAGAGGGGGGTGTCCTGCTCCCCTCCCCTAATTTTGTGGATTCTCCAGCAACCAGTGGAGCTGCACGGAGGAATCCTTGATGGGGACGGGCACTGTGGGGCTCTGCAGGGGTGTCCAGACACCCCCGTGCTGGCGGGGGGTCCCAGTGTGGGTAGCCCCACAGGACGTGGGGACGTCTCCGGCGGTGCCGCGGTGGCGGTGGGAAGCTCTCAGATGTGTTGGGGGCCACGTGTGGTTTGAGGTGCCGGGGACCCAGGCCCCCCCCCCGGCCCCCCGCCCCGCGCCGGGTGCTGGCTTCCCCACTCTCGTTTCCGCTGGGTGAGACGCAGCCCCGGCAGCGCTTCACCCCAACCCTCGCCCTCCCCGCAGGGATGGTGCCGGGACCCTCGAGGGGTGCATCCCTGCCACCCCCCGCCATGCCCGCCGCCGCCCTCCGCCTGCTCTGCGGGGTGGTGATGCCGGCCGCCATGCTCTGCGCCGAGCCCCTGCCCCGCGTCGCCTTCCCCAGCGGTGAGTACAGACCGGGCTGGGGACAAACCGCCTGGGGAGGGGGGGACAACATCAGCTTGGGAAGGCACCCGGCCCCAGGGGGGAGCACCCAGAGTCAGGACCCCACGGGCCACTCTCCATTACAGCCTCCCCATCTTGGTAGCCCTCTTGGTAGCCCCGCGCTGGGCGGGGGGGCCATGGGATGGTGGCCGTGGGGCTGGGGCTGGGGATGGGGGTGGTGGGAGCAGGGCGATGGAAAGGGCTACGGGAGCATCATGGGTGCGGGTGAGATGAGTCTGGTGGGCACCCAAAGGGCTTTGGGAGCTGGAGCCGGGAGCACTTTGGGGTGCCAGCTCCAGGAGAGCGATTTGGGGACCCCCCCCTGGCACCCAGGGATCTGCTCAGGGCCACCCTGGGAGGGGGGAAAAGCTGTCCCCTCGGTGTGACGGGGCACTGCGTCCAGCCAAGTGCCAGGTGGCAGAGCAAGGGGTTTTGTGGTGGGACGGCGGCGCTGGGGCAGCAGGAGAGGGCTGTGCCCCCATGGCAGGGCTGTGCCACCCTGGCCCCTGCCCGCACCGCTACTTCCCCTTCCCCACGCAGCCATTCTGAGAATTGCCAAACCCCCCTTTTCCTTTTCCCTATTTCGGTGGCTGGCAGGGGCAAACAAGATGCCTGTGGCCCCCGGCTGTGCTCGAGGCCACCGTGGGGGCTTGTAACCCCCCAGGCTGGCACCTTGGGGTGCTGCATCCCCGAAACACCCCATGGCTGGGGCCCCAAAGTGTCACGGGCAGAGCCTGCAGCCTCATTAGGGGAAAATTCACCCCATTTTTATAGGACACCAAAGGGGCATCAGAGGGTGAGGACAGCAGCCCGGGGACATGCAGCTCTTGCAGCAGGACCTGGAGGGGACAAGGGGGAGATGGGGACCCAGAGGGGGAAGTGGCGATGGGGGGGGCTGTGGGGGAAGCAACACACCCCATTTCCTATGTGTGAGGTGAGAGAAGCTGCAATGGCAGCTGCTGCTGCATCCGCCCGGGGAGGATGGCGGGGGAGGTGTGAAGCTGAGACCAGTGTGTGTGTCCCTTGGGCCCCCGTCACCCCCATTTTGCTCCTGCCAGGGGACCCCCACCGGACCCTGACGCACTTCAGCCAGGACAACGTCTCCCACTACGACATCTTCCTCCTGCACGAGAGCGAGGAGGAGCTGTACGTGGGGGCACGGGACCGGGTGCTGGCCCTCGCCATCGGCACCCCTGGCAGCATCCGTGCCAAAGCCTCGGTGAGCAGCAGCCACTTTTGGGGAGTCTGGGGGAGATGGGGGGCATACCCTCTGCCGTGCCTCAGTTTCCCCACTCGGGCTGGGCAGTCGTGGCCGGGCTCAGCAGCTGTGGATGCTCTCCCTTCCCTCCACAGATAACGTGGGGACCCACGGCCGAGAAAACCTCCGAGTGCACTTTTAAGAAGAAGAGCCAGGAGGTGAGGCAGCACCATGGCGGGGGGGTCCCACGGGGCTGCAGGGATGCTCAGCCCCCGCCTCTGCTCTTTTCTCCCCACCCCTCCCCAGACCGAGTGCTTCAACTTCATCCGTGTCCTGGTGGCCCTGAACCAGACCCACCTCTACGTCTGCGGGACCTACGCCTTCAGCCCCGCCTGCACCTACATCGTGAGTGTGTGTCCCCCCACCCCAGCCAAGGATGGGACAAGGGGGGCGTCTCCAGATGTGTTGTGCCTTGGTTTCATGGAATCATGGAATGGTTTGGGTGGGAAGGGACCTTAAAGACCACCCAGTCACCCCCTGCCCTGGGCAGGGACACCTCCCACCAGCCCAGGTTGCTCCAAGCCCCCTCCAACCTGCCCTTGAACCCCTCCAGGGATGGAGCAGCCACAGCTTCTCTGGCCAACCTGGGCCAGGCTCTCACCACCTTCACACCAAAGAGGTTCTTCCCCACATCTCAGCTCAATCTCCTCATTTTTGGTTTAAAACTCTTCCCCCTCGTCCTATGGCTCCACTCCCCAAACACCATCCCTGGAGGGATCTAAAAGCTGAGGGACACAGGGCAGTGGTGGGTTGGTCAGTGGTGGGTTGATGGTTGGTCTTGATGAACTTGGAGGTCCCCTCCAACCCAGGGAAGTGGTGGAATCGCCAGAGCATCCCAGAACGTTTGGGGTTGGAAGGGACCTTAAAGACCACCCAGTTCCATCCCTCCTAGAGGAAGGGACACCTCCTACCAGCCCAGGTTGCTCCAAGCCCCCTCCAACCTGGCCTTGAACCCCTCCAGGGATGGGGCAGCCACAGCTTCTCTGGCCAACCTGGGCCAGGCTCTCACCACCCTCAGAGTGAAAATCGTTCCCCCACTGGCTGAGCCCCACAGCTTCCCCGCCGGCCAGGGGGAGCCCACAGCCATCTCTTGCAGATTTCGGGTTTGTTTTACCTCCCTCGGCTGATTCTTCTCCTCTCTCCCACAGCACCGGGAGAACTTCACCCTGGCGTCCAACAGCAGAGGACAACCCTTCCTGGACGGGAAGGGCCAGTGCCCCTTTGACCCCCAGCACACCTACACGGCCCTGCTGGTGGGTGAGTACAGGGCCAGTGGCCCCCGTGGGTGGGCACCCATCCCCAGGACGGAGTGGGGGGGGGGTGGTGGGGGGCGGTCCCTGCCATGTCTCACCCCCACCCCATCCCTGAGCAGACGGCGAGCTCTACGCCGGCACCATGAACAACTTCCAGGGCAACGAGCCCATCATCTCCCGCTCGCTGGGCAGCCGGACCCTCCTCAAGACGGATGCCTTCCTCCGCTGGCTTTCAGGTGAGGAGGGTCCTTGGGAGGAACCTCCCCCTCTCCATCCTCCCCGTGCCAGGGGGGCGCCTGCAGCCCCCCATCCTCCCTCCAGCTCCTCACCCACCTGCCCTGGCTGTGCCCCACAGCCGACGCCGCCTTCGTGGCCTCCTTCAGCATCCCTGGAGATGACAAGGTCTACTTCTTCTTCGAGGAGACGGCCGATGAGTTCGACTTCTTCGAGCGGCTCCTGGTGCCGCGGGTGGCCCGGGTCTGCAAGGTGGGTGCAGGGACAACGATAATGGGGGGACAACGGGGGTACCCAGCTCCTGGAGGGGGCTGAGCATCCTCCCACCTCCCGCAGAGCGATGTCGGGGGGGACAAGGTGCTGCAGAAGAAGTGGACGACGTTCCTGAAGGCCCAGCTGGTCTGCTCCCAACCCGGCCGCTTCCCCTTCAACGTCATCCATCACGCCTTCGCCCTGCCCCGCCGCCGCGGCGGCGCCGACTTCTACGCCGTCTTCACCTCACAGTGGTAAGTCCCGGCACCCGGGGGTGCCACAGGGGGGGTCCGGGTACCCATGTCCTCCCTGTAACCCACCTCGCTGTCCCTGCAGGCAGGCGGGCAGGGCGGGCAGTGCCGCCGTCTGCGCCTACAGCCAGGAGGCTCTGGAGGAGGTCTTCGAGGGCAAGTACAAGGAGCTGAACAAGGAGAGCTCCCGCTGGACGGTTTACGGTGGCCCTGACATGAGTCCCCGGCCCGGCAGCGTGAGTTCTGCCACCCCCCCAGGGGACAGGACCCTCCCGGGGGACAGGACCCTCCCGGGGGACAATGGTGGTCCCCCTGAGGAGGGGTGTTTCTGCCCCAGTTTACCCTGTGTGCCAGCACTGATGGGAAATGGATGAGAAAGAGGATGGTGGTTCCTTTGCATCCAACTGATGGTGGCACATGGCAGCTTGGTGGCGTGTCCCCCACTCCCCGTGCCTGTTTCCCCACACCAGCACTGACTCCTCTCTCCCTGCAGTGCCACATGGGTCCCTCCTCTGACAAAGCCCTCACCTTCATGAAGGAGCATTTCCTGATGGATGGGAAGGTGACGCCCATCCAGGGACGGCCATTGCTGGTGAAGACAGACGTCACATACACGCGCATCGTGGTGGACGAGACTCGTGGCATCTCAGGGACCACCTACCATGTCATGTTCCTGGCCACAGGTGGGTTTCCATGGGGGTACACACAGGGCGCTTGGTCACCCCTCCTACCCTTCCCTCGGCCCCCCAAAACACCGGCGATGTCCTCTGTGCCCCTGCAGCGGAGGGTTTCCTGCACAAAGCGGTGGAGCTCCCTGAGGGTCCCCACATTGTGGAGAGCATCCAGCTCTTCAAGACACCGGAGCCCGTGAAGAACCTGCTGCTGGCCCCAGGGAAGGTAGGGGATGGGGAAGACCCCACAGCCCACCCCAGCTGGTACATGGGGCCAGGAGGAAGGCTCAGCCCTGCACCTCCTCCTCCCCAGGGCGTCCTCTACGTGGGCTACTCCGGTGGCGTCCTTCAAGTCCCGCTGGCCAACTGCAGCCTGCACCGGAGCTGCGCCGAGTGTGTGCTGGCCCGGGACCCGTACTGTGCCTGGCACAGCCTGGAGGGCTCCTGCCAGCCCACCCGTGCCACCGCTACCGAGGACACGTGAGCCGGGGCAGGGAGCGGGATGAGGATGGGATGGGGGACGCGGAGGGGACCGGGATGCTGATGCCACTCTCCGGCCGCAGGAGCGCGTGGGTGCAGGACGTGGAAGCGGGGAGCCCAGCCACCCCGTGCCACCGCGGGAGGAGCGTGGCCATACCCCGGTCCTGGGGGGCACCGGAGGATCCCGCCGCAGAGAGTTGAGTATGGGGCAGGGGGGGCACAATGGGTTTGGGGTCTGGAGAGTGGGACATGGGGGGGCACTGCATCACCCTGCTCTCCTCCTCCGCACCCCACAGGGATCAGCCCCCAGCTCAACGCCGTGGTCCACCTGCCATGCCCCCGCCGTTCCGCCCTGGCCAACTACAGCTGGCAGCAGCCCGGGGGCCCTGGGGACCGGGGGGGCACGACGCTGCTGCCCAACCAGACGCTGGTGGTCATCATGCAACAGGGGACCGCTGGCACCTACAAGTGCCAGGCCACCGAGAACGGCTACACCTGGACCGTGGCTCACTACCACCTACAGGACCCCAGTGGGGCGGCCCCCGAAACGGACGGGCTGGCTGAGGAGGGGTTGTCCTGGGGGTCCTCGGCCCCCGGCACCCCCCGGTCTTACTGGCCCCAGTTTGTCACCGTCACCGTGCTGCTGGCCGTGACGCTGGTGGCCGCCGCCTGCCTGGCCCTGCTCGCCTACCACGACCAGCTCAAAGCCAGGAGCAAGGTACGGGGGTGCAGTGCGCCCCACAGCCCCCCATCCCAGCGCCGGGAGAAGGTACCCCTCAACGGGGGGACTGGAGAGCTCCCGGCACCCGGAGTCCCCACCACGGAGGAGGAGGAAGACGACGAAAGCTCCCGCGCTTGTTGCCTCCAGCTCGACGGGGACATCGATGCCGATAACAACAGGGTCCGTGTCCCTGCGGGGGGCACGGCGTGACAATGCCACCAGGTCGGGGAGACCATGGAGGAGCAGCGGGGTGCGAGGGGGGATATGAATGTGAAGTTATTTTTTTTTCTTTTTCTTTTTCTTTTTTTTTTTTTAATTTAATACCTGTGTTTTAACATAAGGTGACATTACAGGGTAGTGGCGAGGGGCAGCGGGGTGGGATGCCACCCCTGGGAGCAAGGGGGTGGGATGGGGCAAGGAGATGGAGTTTGGGGAGAGAAGGGGGCAAGGGAAAGGACATGGGGACAGGGGAAGGATGTGGGCACAGAAGAGGGACAAAGAGATAAGGCTGAGGGCAGGATGCGGTTGTGGGGCAAGGACACATGGTGAGGACGGGGGGAGTTGGTGGATGCTGACACTGGTGTCACCCCAGGAAAAAAAAAACTGGGATCCATAAAAGTGCCAGATGGGCTCCATGGGCTGACCCCAAAGAGCACCCACCCCGCACTGCCGGACCTCGCCACCCCACTCCCACTGCCCTGGGTGCTGGGGGGGGGGACGACACCCCACTACCGTGGTGTGGGGAGATCCCCCACTTCTCCCCAGCTGCCCCCCGGGGTTGGCGCCTGCTGCTTTTTTGATGATGTTGAGCCTTCTTTTATTGTTTTGGTTGGTTTTTTTTAAGACAAACCAGCTGTAAATTTTCCTGCTCTTTGTATATTTGATTTTTTTTTCTTTTTTTTATTAAAAAGGAAAAGCTACTGTGTTGTGCTGCTGGGTCCCAGGAGCAGCCCCAGGGGGGCACCGCCAGGTCCCTCAGCCTCCGGCTTCTGGGAGTGTGTGTGTGTGTAATGGGGGGTGTTCATGCGTGTGCAGGGTGGTCGTGGTGTGTGTGTGCGTGTGCAAGGTGTGCACAGGTCCAGAGGAGGCCCCGGAGATGCTGGGAGGGCTGGAGCCCCTCTGCTGGGAGGGGGGGCTGAGAGAGTTGGGGGGGGTTCAGCCTGGAGAAGCGAAGGCTCTGTGGAGCCCTTGGAGCCCCTTCCAGTCCCTCAAGGGGCTCCAGGAGAGATGGGGGGGGACTCTGGATCAGGGAGGGGAGTGATGGGATGAGGGGGAAGGGTTTGAAGCTGAAAGAGGGGAGATGGAGCTGAGCTGTGGGGCAGAAGTTCTTTGGTGTGAGGGTGGTGAGAGCCTGGCCCAGGTTGCCCCGAGAAGCTGTGGCTGCCCCATCCCTGGAGGGGTTCAAGGGCAGGTTGGAGGGGGCTTGGAGCAACCTGGGCTGGTGGGAGGTGGCCCTGCCCAGGGCAGGGAGGGGAACTGGGTAGCCTTTAAGGTCCCTTCCACCCCAAATCATTATGTGATTCTATGATTCTATATGGTTGAAGACACCATCTCTATCAAGACTCTATCAGGTGCTGGAGCGTGTCCAGAGAAGGGCAACGGAGCTGGTGAGGGGTCTGGAGACCAAGTCTTGTGAGGAGAGGCTGAGGGAGCTGGGGGTGTTCAGCCTGGAGAAAAGGAGGCTGAGGGGAGACCTTCTCGCTCTCTACAACCCCCTGTAAGGAGGGCCAGGGGGGGTTGGTCTCTTCTCCCAAGTCACAGCTGATGGGACAAGAGGAAATGGCCTCAAGTTGCACCAGGGGAGGTTTCGGTTGGATATTAGGGAAAATTCTGACACTGAAAGGTTTATCAAGCCTTGGAATGGGCTGCCCAGGGCAGAGGTTGAGGCACCATCCCTGGAGGTGTTCAAAAGCTGGGTTAACGGGGTGCTGGGGGACATGGGTTAGTGATGGGTTTTGTCAGATGGTTGGACGAGATGATCTTGAAGGCCCCTTCCAACCTAGATGATTCGATGATTCTAAGACAAACTCTCAGGTGAAGAGCTAAGGTGGGAAAAGGCTGGAAGAAGCAAGTGGAGAAACAACTGAGGCCTGGACCATCGTCATGGACAGATGAGCTTTGAGGACCCCACGTCTCGCTGGGGGGTGGAGGGGTCACTCCTGGGGTGGGCTGAGTGGTGCAGAGCAGGTACGGCAGGTCTGAGGGGTGCACAGAGAAGGGCAGAGGTGGAAGAGGAGACAACTGGAAGGGGACCCTCAGCTCCGGCCCGGGAGCAGGAGGGCAGTTTGGTGCTCCCTGTCTTTGCTGTCAGAACTGAGAGTGTCTCCGACTGTCCATGAGTCCTTCCCGGTGGGCTCTGTCCTCCAGCCCCGATTCTGCAGTGGTTCTCTGGGCTCATGTGTGTGTGACCAGCGCCCTGCGCTCCTCCTGGGCGAGCCGGGGCGGCTGACACTCGGTTCCTCCACAGCTGCGACATCTGCGCGCACCTGCGGGTGCTCCGGCCCTTTAAGAGCTGAAATTCGGCGCTGTCCCTTTAAGGCGCGGCCTCCCCGCTGTGCGCGTGCGCGCCGCCTTCCCCGCCGCCCGTCGCCGGGACGCAGCGGGCGAGCGCCCTCTTTACTGCGGGCGGAAGTGCGTGCTCCCTCTTCCGGCGCGGCCTCAGCCCTTCCCCAAGATGGCGCCGGCGCTCGGGCGCTGATTGCTCGGGCTGCGCGTGAGGGCCCCGACGTGCCGCCGCCGCCGCCG